ATCATCACAATAATCATCATAAATAGGAGGCATGCTTTTATCATAATAAATTAGCTCATCAAAACTTGGGGGACAAAAAAATATCATATTCATCAAACATAGCATCCCCAAGCTTGTGGCTTTGCATATCATTAGCATCATGGGTATTCAAAGAATTCATACTAACAACATTGCAATCATGCTCATCATTCCCATATTTAGTGCCAAACATTTTATAGACTTCTTCTTCTAGCACTTGAGCCCAATTTTCCTTACCGTCATTCTCACGAAAGATATTAAAAAGATGAAGCGTATGAGGCAAACTCAATTCCATTTTTTTGTAGTTTTCTTTTATAGAATAAACTAGTGATAAAACATGAAAGTAAAAGATTCGATTGCAAGATCAAAAGATATACCTTCAAGCACTCACCTCCCCGGCAACGGCGCCAAAAATGAGCTTGCTGTCTACTACACAACCTTCTTCTTGTAGACATTGTTGGGCCTCCAAGTGCAGAGGTTTGTAGGACAGTAGAAAATTTCCCTCAAGTGGATGACCTAAGGTTTATCAATCAGTGGGAGGCGTAGGATGAAGATGGTCTCTCTCAAACAACCCTGCAACCAAATAACAAAGAGTCTCTTGTGTCTCCAACACACCCAATACAATGCTAAATTGTATAGGTGCACTAGTTTGGCGAAGAGATGGTGATACAAGTGCAATATGGATGATAGATATAGGTTTTTTTAATCTGAAATAATAAAACAGCAAGGTAACTAATGATAAAAGTGAGCATAAACGGTATTGCAATGCTAGGAAACAAGGCCTAAGGTTCATACTTTCACTAGTGCAAGTTCTCTCAACAATAATAACATAATTGGATCATATAACTATACCTCAACATGCAACAAAGAGTCACTCCAAAGTCACTAATAGCGGAGAACAAACAAAGAGATTATTGTAGGGTACGAAACCACCTCAAATTTATCCTTTCTGATCGATCTATTCAAGAGTCCGTAGTAAACTAACACGAAGCTATTCTTTCCGTTTGATCTATCATAGAGTTCGTACTAGAATAACACCTTAAGACACAAATCAACCAAAACCCTAATGTCACCTAGATACTCCAATGTCACCTCAAGTATCTATGGGCATGATTATATGATATGCATCACACAATCTCAGATTCATCTATTCAACCAACACAAACTACTTCAAAGAGTGCCCCAAAGTTTCTACCGAAGAGTCAAGACAAAAACGTGTGCCAACCCCTATGCATAAATTCACAAGGTCACTGAACCCGCAAGTTGATCACCAAAACGTACATCAAGTAGATCACATGAATATCCCATTGTCACCACAGATAAGCACATGCAAGACATACATCCAGTGTTCTCATATCCTTAAAGACTCAATCCGATAAGATAACTTCAAAGGGAAAACTCACTTCATTACAAGAGAGTAGAGGGGGAGAAACATCATAAGATCTAACTATAATAGCAAAGCTCGCAATACATTAAGATCGTGTTGTATCAAGAACACGAGAGAGAGAGAGAGAGAGAGATCAAACACATAGCTACTGGTACATACCCTTAGCCCCGAGGGTGAACTACTCCCTCCTCGCCATGGAGAGCACCGGGATGAAGAAGATGGCCACCGGTGATGGATCCCCCCTCCGTCAGGGTGCCGGAACAGGGCCCCGAGAGGTTTTTGGTGGCTACAGAGGATTGCGGTGGCGGAACTCCCGATCTATTGTGCTCTCTGGAGGTTTCAGTATTTATAGGATTTTTGGCGTAGGTCTCACGTTAGGGGGGGTCTCCGGGCTGTCCACGAGGCAGGGGGCACGCCCAGGGGGGTGGGCGCGCCCTCCACCCTCGTGGGCAGCCCGAGACTCTTCTGGCCCAACTCTTTCACTCCAAGGACTTCTTTTGGTCCATAAAAAATCATCAAAATTTGGCACGTCAATTGGACTCCGTTTGGTATTCCTTTTCTGTAGAACTCAAAAACAAGGAGAAAACAGAAACTGGCACTGGGCTCTAGGTTAATAGGTTAGTCCCAAAAATCATATAAAATAGCATATAAATGCATATAAAACATCCTAGATGGATAATATAATAGCATGAATACTTCATAAATTATAGATACGTTGGAGACGTATCACTTGGTTCAGGGGCTACTGAGGGAGTCCAGGATTAAGGGGTCCTCGGACGGCCGGACTATGTTACATGGGTCGGACTGTTGGGCTATGACGATACAAGAATGAAGATTCTCTCCCGTGTCTGGATGGGACTCTCTTGGTGTGGAAGGCAAGCTTGGCGACTGGATTTGTAGATTCCTTTCTCTGTAATCAACTTTGTACAACCCTAGTCCCCTCCGATGTCTATATAAACCGGAGGGCTTAGTCTGTAGAGGCAGATTCATAATCCTCATAGGCTAAACTTCTAGTGTTTAGCCATTACGATCACGTGGTAGATCAACTCTTGTAATACTCATATCATCAAGATCAATATAGTAGGAAGTAGGGTATTACCTCGATAGAAAGGGCCCGAACCTCGGTAAACATCGTGTCCCCCACCTCCTGTTACCATCGACCTTAGACGCACAGTTCGGGACCCCTACCCGAGATCCGCCGGTTTTGACACCGACAGCGACGCCATAGTGTCGGCTCACCGGGTGCTCGGGTCCTCTGGTGCTGGATCCTCGTGGTCCCGGCAGCCGGAACACCTTTCCTTCCCCATCACCGGCCGGTCAGACTATGAGTGCCACCGGGAACGGGTGGCCGCCGTGGGAAGGAGAGGATAAGGGCATCTGAGGCTTGTATCACGGCGGAAATGGCGGCTGATGCGGCGGCACGAGCGGCTGCAGAGGAAGAAGTCATTCGCGCCTGCATTGTGAAGAAACAACAGCGGAGAAACGCGTGCGCCCTCGCCCGAGAGCAAAATCGGGCGGTCCATGCCATTGCCGGACTGCCACCGAAGGAGGACATCGATGGCGAGGACAACTCTGATGACGAGCAGATCCAGCTCGATTCGTACTATGTCTTCGACCGGTACTTCCGCGAGAAGGACGACAAGGGTGTCGGGAAGGGCAAGAGCAGCTATTGATGAACTCCAGCCAAACATGCCAAATTTTGGTAGTCCGATGGCATTGTTAGTTAGTAGTGATGGAGTAGCCAGACGATTTGTGCGAGTTGTGTGCATCAACGTAGTTGCATGAATTTGTATGGATTTGATATATGATAATTGAGGTGTGCGGATGTGGATTACATTATTTGAGGGGTGCCCAGTTGGTGTCTGTGGACGCGTCCGTGGGCATTTGAGGGGCCGGATTTGTCAAGTCCGGGTGTAGATGCTCTAATAGGACGTACTTCAGTTTATATATGACCTTGTTTGTATATAATGTTTAATTTCTACATGAAAAGAAGAGTTGCATTTTTCTTTAGTGAAAGGGCTCCAAGGTCATAAACTAAGTATCACTGGTCCTTACAAGCACACTCATACCAAAAAATAAAATTACTTTAGAAATTAGTCGTGATTAAAAATAAATATTGCATGTCCTTACAGACAAATCCATGCTGAATAAAATAAAATTCTAAGAGTAACATTCTTCCTTTAACGCCTTTTTGAAGCATTGTTTTTTTCGGAAAAGCACTAGGAATGATTTTTCCTCACGAAAATTCGCATGTATGTAGAACATTCAATAATGCTTGTTGCGATATTTGGTCGAATTTTTTTACTATGTTTTTTTATTGTACTGTTCATGGTAGGTGCATTTGAGCTCAGGAGGAGAAGAGCACTTTGAGAACTCTCCTCATCTCTTCCTCCGCCACAATAGATCCTTAGCCCTAACATTTTCATCTCACCTTCGCCACCACTTCGCCTCCATCGTCAATGGCGTAGCTTAAGGGCCCCTCTGGCTAAACTTCAAAGGTAAAGTAGAGGGAGAAACATGTGAATAGGAAATTTTCATGTGCAGACACAATTTATGTGTTCCGTTCAAAGGAATGGATCAAAAGAAAGTGGGAGGACGTTTTCCTTTGATCCTAGTCTCGTAGGGAAAAGCACAAGAATTCTAGCATCCACTTGAACCTCCTTTCCAAATTCATACACATAAAGAATGATGGTGTAATATCATTCTAATTACATGTTGTTGTTTGCTTGTTTGGTACTATTAAATTGTTACAAGTATTATACTACTTCCCCTCCGATTCAAATTAAGTGTCATAGTTTTGAATTTGAACCGGGGTTAGTTCAAAACCGTGATGGAGGAAGTATCTCACAAGTCAAAAGTCATATTCTGCTCCCGAGCTCAAATGCTCCCTTATGAACAGTAAAATCGAAAAAAGAATCTGAATTTTTTTGTAGCAAACTTTGAGAAATGTTTTGCATGCATACCAAAATTTAGCACGAAATGACATTTGCGGAAGTCATGGCGAAAAAAAGATCAGCGGTCCAAAATGTTTTAAATAGTAGCATTTTTGGAGCATCAATTTCGGTTTTTTTCAATGACTTGCATGAATGTCATTTCGTGCTGAAATTTTGCAAGCATAGAAAATATTTATCAAAGTTTACCATAAAAGAAATTCATAATTTCTTGAATTTTGTTACTACTTTTTAGGTTTCACCGTGCATGAGGGAACATTTGAGCTTGGGAACAGATACTCCACGTTCCTCACAAGTTCATTTTTCATGGGTATAATTTAATAAAGCGAGAGATTTACTTCAGAAAAAAGGATGATTAGATAAAACTGGTTTCATAAATCGGCATTGATATTCTTGCTTGTCATTTGCTTTCGCAACTGCGAAGACTCTACATCAAAAAGATCCAAACGGCCGCCGCGTAGAAGCAAGCTGAGAAAGGGCCACGGCCAGAAAACTGAAACGGGCCCTCGGCTGTACCTGTAGCCACCGAAACCACACGTTGCAGCGCACGAAAAAACAAAATCAGCCGTGCTCCTCCGAACCCGCGCTCTACGCTCGGGACGCACCGCACCGAACCGTTCGTTTCGTTCGCCGCCGCCGCCGAGATGCTGCCGCTGGCGCGCGCCCCTCTCCGCCGCCTCCTGCTCTCCTCGCCCCGAGCCCTGTCGTTCTGCTCCGCCTACACGACCGTAGGCCGCCGCGGCGTCGTCGGCGGCGGCGGCATCTCACCCCTTCTCCTGATGCTCTCCGCTCGCCCCTCGGCGTGCCGCGTCGGCGGGGGATCCCTCCCGGCCGCAGGGGCACCAACCGGGGCCTCCTCGCGAGGCAGGAGCCTCTGCGCCCGCGCCGTCAGCGTGGACGACGAGGCGCCCTCCAGCTCCGCCGCCGGCAGCGTCTACGACCTGGCCGCGCCTTACCTCTCCGTCCGCATCCGCTGCCGCAAGGAGGACGCCGTCAGTATCCCCCCTCTAGTTCAGAGCACTAGTTTTTACAGTACTTTCTAGCCTCTATCGGAATTTTTCCCTGACAAAAGTTTCATGTGTCCTCGCAATCCAGGAACTGCTCTCCGAGTCCCTCCTGTGCTTTGGCGCTTGCTCCGTCACCGTGGACGACATCGCCGACGCTGCAAATCTTGACGAGGTGAGTTCATTCTCTCTGCATTTTGGGATTCAGTCGGGTGATTTCCTGTGATTCTAGCTAACACAATCTGAACGAGTTTCGGCCTTACTGTTACAGATGATGCACAAGATACGTCAAAGATCTAATGTGTGCAATCGTGTGTTGTGCAGATCTCCATAACCACCATATATGCACACGGGGAGAACGTAGGCTCGAGCGTTTCGAGTGCTGCAAGCTCAGCTGGTCTGGACTACAACCCAGTGTATGAAACCTCTGTAGGAAAGCAGTGCGACTGGGTGACACTTGTGCAGGTTACTACTACTTTCTACTACAGTACCTATTAGGGTCTACAGATTGTCTCTGAGAATGAGAAGTTCATTGCCGTAACTTTTGCCCTCAAATTCTGGCGAACGAATGCAAGGGTACAGGAAACGTACTGTGCCATGTAGATACTTAATAAAAGTTACTGTTATGTCTGCAGGAAACGTACGAGTCCACGAAAGTTATCGATGGCCTTTGGATTATTCCTAAATGGAAAACTCCCCCTGTATGTCTGCTGCATACACCATGCTCTTTTCCTTTTAATTTCTTTACTTATAGATAAGTGTTGTTTTCGTTTATCCTCATCTACTCGAGTGCTTGAACTGAGAGTTACTTCGTCATGTGCCATGTCCATCTTCCTCCATCCACAGGATCCAGAGGCCACAAATATCATCATCAATCCAGGCCTGGCTTTTGGAACTGGGGAGCATCCGACGACTAAATTGTGCCTTCTTTTTCTCAAGGAAGTTATTAAGGGGGGTGAGCATGTCTTGGACTATGGAACAGGCACCGGAGTGTTGGGCATTGCAGCTCTGAAGGTGCAATGTTTAAAACTGTTCTTGTTTAGTATTTTTCAGGAAAAGACATCAGCAATATGCCTTGTTTCATGCTCTCATTGTTGGCTTACACTACAAATGCAGATGGGTGCTGCTCTATCCACTGGTATAGACATCGACCCTCAAGCTGTAAGATCCGCTCATGAGAACATGCTGCTGAACGGTATGGATTCCGACAGAATGCTGGTTCACTTGGTTCCGGCAGGCGCCGAGCCTTCATGCTTCTCAAGGAGCATCGACAAATCATCAGAAGAGGAAAAGCCTGGCAGTAACCTTGAGGTGAAGTCCTCAAAGGGGACGTACGACATTGTTGCTGCAAATATACTGCTGAACCCCTTGCTGGAGCTGGTCGAGGACATAGTTGGATTTGCGAAAACCGGTGGAACTGTAGCTGTTTCAGGGATATTGTGTGAGCAGGTAAAAGGAATTTGACTATTTCCAAAATTTAACATGTCACTCAGAGTTTCATTTCTTGGTTACTATGCTTCTCTTGGTACCTCACCAGTTATATCTTGCCTGATACAGGTTCCGAAGATCGAAAAGGCTTACTCCAGGTACTTGGACAACGTATCTGTATCTGAAATGGATGGATGGGCGTGCCTTCAGGGAACAAGAAGAGCGTAGATTTTTGCATTTTTCTTCTCACATTGTGAAGGCAGATTGACCTTACTTTCCCGACTGGTGAGAGGTTTTTTGCCCCTACAGGAGGAGAATGTTTTGGCTTCAACTATTTGAACCATTTTGGTAGGATTACTTGGGTACTGGTGTGACGCATATGTTTTGAGGACATATGATAAGACGATGTGATGTTTACGGTGCTTAAGTGCGAATAGCACATGGACAAATGTTTTGTTTCATGCCCATCATTTTTATCACTATGATAGCGTGAGGAAATGTGTGGTAGTAGGATATCAAAATCCCAGATTGGTTTTGAGGACAAACCCAGATTGATTTTCAATATGAATTCAAAAGCTAACTGAATCAGAAAACATGTCGAGGGTTTCAGACTAACTGCAGACGCTAAAAAAGCATTGGTAGTACAACTCACGCGCAAATGGCAGAAGATCATCATTTCAGTTAGTACAACTTGTATTGCTTCCAGTATCCTCATACAATTCCTGAAGATATGTCCACTATCTGGAATCAAATTCAACACGCTATTGTAACACCCTTCTACTTGGAAACAAACTATATATGAATCAACATGCATCTTTTGCGGGAAAAAAACCTGTGCATGCATTAGAGATTAGAGTATGCTTTGAAGGCCTTCGCCAAATTGTGTAGAACTTTCAGTGTTCAGGTTATCTGAACTTTGCCGAATTAGAGCCTGCCATTTTGGTGCTCAGGTTACCTGAATCCTTAGTTTTTCATTCTTTTCCTCTTTGTACTCCTATGTGTTCAGGGTACTAGTACTATCCATTTGTGCTTTGCAGAAATAATCCCATCTAAATTTTACTGGGAATCTTGTGTTTAAGGAAAGCCTCCAAATCACTTATAGATGTCAAACCTTCTTTCTGATTGGAGAGCAACTTTGAGAACTCCGAAACTTTCCCCTTTCCGCTCTTCCCAGGGGAGCTACTGAGAAATGGGAGAGATGATGGTGCTTGTGCCAGTGCCCACACTGATGAGAGCAATTCATTTGGTTTATCCAGCTGCTCCAAAATTGTGTAATCTCCATTCGCTGTACAAAAGGGGAGAAGGTTGACAAAAAACTCCTACATACCCTGGAAGGCTCAGTTGACGAAAAAGAAGATGATTTGAACAAGCACCTGCATACTTGAAGACCATTTCCAGAGATTTGCAGGGGATGCTGAAATTCAGACGAGGTATTGTGCTCCCACCACCATGCTTAGCATTGCTGCATATGGTAACAGAAGAAATAAGTGGCTGGAAATGAGCATGTTGGGCCTTTGCTAGAATCAAGAAAACTAAGATGACTGCAAAGACAGTCTTACAGTCACTAGAATGAAGGGAAGTGGGTCACTGTATAGGTGAAGCAGGAAAACACTAAGACAGCAAAGCTAGTTCCGGAATAGTACAAATCCACCAAAAGAATCGGTAATACTGATACAAATCGCATGCAATTTGACAGTGGTGACGTGGTGTCCACTAATAGTGTTACAATGTTTGTGCATACCTTGTTATTAGTCCAACCATTCGACCATGTGAATTGACAATTACACCACCACTAGATCCAGGATGAACTGCCGCTGTTGTCTGCAGCATTACTGGCAGGTCCATATTGTCTGTCTGCACATTGCTAGGCAGATGAGAATGTTGAGCTGATGGAATTTGGACAACTTTCGAGACAACCCCAGAGGAAAGGGAGGAACATAGACCTACAGCCAAATACCCAAAAAGCAACGTTATATTAATAAAACAGTTAACGTACATGTCATAAATTAAGCATCAATCTGCTGTCGGAACTATTTTGGAAACTATGATTCCAAGGCTTATTACCTGATCGAGGTCCAAGAAGACCATGCCCAATAACATATGTAGACGACCCTGCTGTCGGACAAACAAATTCTGGTCTAATTGCACAAAATTCAATCGCGTTCTTTTCCATTTGAAGCAAGGCAACATCAAGTGGCCCCTTGGAGATAAACACCACACTAGCACTACACCATGTCTGTTTCTCCCCATCATCCAAACGAACAGATATTCTCTTCTCTCTCTTGGAACCCAAATTAAAGAATGAAACCTCATGCTTAACAGCATCTTCATTGGACATCTTGCAATGCTGTGACTGCAACAATTTATTCTCTCCATGGAGATATTCTCCAGCAAGTGAGGTGGTTTTATGTTGTAAACCTAAAGGTGAAGTTCTCCCAAATCGCCAAGGCTCCAAAAGATGAGCATTTGTCAGAACTAAGCCATGCTTGTTGAGGAGAATACCTGAAGCCCAAGTTGTATCACCAACCGTGACAAGAACAACCGAGGATATAGCCTCTCTGAGTGAAGGTGGAATGCTATACTGATTAAGGTCATTGGCTAAATTAGAGACAAACCTCCTATGGTTATCCATGCCACATGATTCCACAGTTTTACTGTCTGCAATTTTGTCATCAAGTAGTTCATTTGAGGCTTGCTCAATTTGCTCCAGTTTGTTTCTGCTCCATGCAGTGCATATTCCATCCCATGTAATCACAAGCTGCCATGATGATACTTAAGTTGACATATCTCTTCCATGTGCAAAAGTATATTACTGACACCAGTAAACTCACCTGAACTTGTATGTTGCTGCCTCTCTGTCTTAATGGCTTCATCAACATTCCCACAAGACAAGAATTTTTATCAAACACTGGAGCACCTTCCATACCTTAAAATATTTGAAAAATTATTAACAGCTGACTCATAGTATATATCCTAAAGAGATAGTGATATCTGTACCGGGAAGACAGTGGATGTCAGCCATCAGCAGCGAGCTCCTGGCAGCGCCTGGAGGTAGGCAATTTGCAACAGCACCAACTGATATACTGCTTACATAATAACATCAATATTATGGATAAATCTGACAATGCCTCTTGTTTTTAGAATAACTGTGACATAATAAAGTGGATAATAGCATGTGTGTCTTCTCCAATGGCAGAAACTAGAACAGCTAACTGACAATGAATAAGCCTTCATGCTAGACATGCCTCAAACAGAATTATACTCCCTGGTTTTTAGCTTCAGTGAGGACGTGCAAAGAAAATTTAAAGAGCAACACTTCAGAGTTTAGTATTATCTCCATAAAAGATATGTAGTTGCATCAAGTTTTCAACTGTTTGAACCTTAATATTACACTGATCAATACCATAAAACTATGTACTCCATGTTTTAGCTGACTGAACTTACAAACACAATAGGTGCATATGCTTAATACTGAATTCAAGCAGTAGAGATAAAAATTACCTGTTGAAGAAATGGAATGGTGACAGGATGCCAAAGGGAGACCCCACTACCAGCAAAGAGTCCCCTCGCTGTGGAATCGGTGGAACATTGATATGTCCTGCATTCTGATATCATTGACCAAGATCATCAACTAATAAAAACTAGGCGCACCTTGTAATTCTTGAGACGCTAAAGATCAGTGAAATGGAACAGCATCATAATGAACCTTACACTCGATGTTAAGGCTGAGACTCCTAATACAGCAATTCGTGTGGCAGACTTGGCTATTGTTGATGGGTCAACAGACTCAGCATAGAAATACTTCCTATTGTACTCAAGGGAGGATCCGGCATCAATTTCGACCTGATAATGGCTGATAACGGTAAATCTTCCATCACTATAAATCAGGGCAGACAAGTTTAGCTTGATGAATAGATAACCTGCTTCTGATTCACATCGGCCAGTGGCCAGCCAACATCCCATGACGAGCTTCCAATCAGTGAACCATCATATGTTAACAAGGATAACACAGAATCGGCCGACGCTGGGACATCAACCTAAAAGGGAAAACTGAGGTGCTGAACTGATGATGAATCATATTTTCCATCTAATACCATATATAAATATCTAGAACCTCGTAAAATATTAAAGAAAAGAAATGCAGTTCTGATTATAAATATGAAGTCTAAGTTCATAATTACTCTTTCTGAGCTCAAAGAACATCCTCTGAATCCAAAGAACTTAAAAACAGCTATTGCCTCAAATTTTTGTAATTATGTATGCCCACTTTGTAGACCTTTCCTATTACCAAGTAGCACTTCCTTTCAGTGAAAAATGGCAGACGCACTTCCCATTCTTATAGCACGAAACAAATATTTACAGAGTTTTAAGTTGCCTCATGGCAAAAGTCCCAACTACACTAGAATCTGGGTAAACAAAAAAGTAACACTAGTAACGAGTATATGGTTTCACAGGGAAAAGAAACACTCACCATGGCAAGTAACTCAGCTGAAAGCCACTGGGGAGCTCCAGAATCTCCATGTCTGATGTTCCCTGATTCCTCAGGCTGCATATGCCAGGAAAAGTTCAGGATTTCAAGAAAATCTTCCTAAAACTCTTTCAGGATGGATATTCTCTGTGCAGTTCTTCAACACACAGAATTAAGCACCGGATATTTAATTTGATCGATTGATCCGCTAATCCTACAGCCCATTACAATACTGTTCCATTGGTACGAAGTCTTAATAACCCCCTAAAATACGCACCAATCTAAGTATCTGCATTAGTTTTGCTCTTAAGTGGCGATTGACACTTTGACAGCTTGGCAGAGTTTCATCAATATGAATTCACATATTTCTTTCTTTTTCAAGGAGGCACTGAATAGATTACGGACTGCGGGATGCAAGTGTGAATAACTAGCACATTACAATACTGGTATACAGCAAAAAACAAGGTCCCTGCAAATGTTCCTCACCTCAACTAGCACATCAAGACGCGCCTCCGGTACTAACCTCGGCTGCAGTTCCTGCAGGCATTCCATCAAGCAACCAGCAAGTCAGCAGCAGAATCACCCCAATCAGACATGTGTGAGCACGATACACCGCAACCAACCTCGCTGGGGCTATCGCGCTGCTCCGCGGCCAGGAACGGCTCGACGAGCGACGCGGCCGTGAGCGCGACGCCCCCGGCACGGCCGTGGGACGCGCATATACGGGCAAGGAGCGGCGGCGGCTCCGCCAGGGCGCCCG